AGATAGCCACACAAAAAATGGCTTGTCATTATTCAGTGTTTCTATCTACATGGCTTTTTTTTCATAAACCCCTAACTATTCATAACCATCGCAATGGTGCCATCACAGAACTGATCTCACTTATACTAAACATTACTTACTGTTTTCCTACCTTATTGCATGGTTTTAAGGTCCTTCTTCAAATGTGTTTACTTGGATTCTATATGGCCAAATTTGTGAGCCTTCTGGATGGATCTCTGGAACATCAGAAACAAAAAAGGTGGTTTATAAAAAAACAGATCTTTATCCAGTAAAATAAAAAAAAAAAACAGAATAATTTATTTTGGTTTCATAAAACCTGAACTGGCTTTTTTCTTTCTTTAGCAGAAAGCAATTTTGTAAAGTCCATGCTTCATTAACCTGTGTACCATATGTACCATTATAAATATCTACTTCAAGGTAATCGTATTTAAATAGCTGTATATCTTAAATTTGTCAACCAAATTTTGTTCCAACAAATTTTAATTCAGTATAAAGATTTTGCCTTACCTTTAAAGGAGTATTGCAAACAGCTTTTTTTTTTTTTTGCCATCCTTTCTCTCTATTCTGTGACTGCTTTACTTAATTGTCACACTTTTTTCCTCATTGTCTGCACATTCATTTACAAATCCTGCTGTTGGCTTGCAAAAATCACTAATCTGAGCCACTACAAAATGCATAGATGCAAATGTGCACCTAAAATGAGCATTTAGCCTGTAATCCTGGTAGTCATTCAGTGCTCCATCTCTGCATTTAAAGCATTCAGAGGATTGATGCCTATGCTAATCTGACAGAGTTAGGAGGACTACTGCAACTCATCCTCGTTTTGGAGTTATCAGGGCTGACGGGCCGCTGTTTATGTGCAGATTTCTCCTCACAGCGAATCAGGCATTAACATAAGCGCCAGTAACATGCCCCAACCACTTCATGCCATGTAAATAAAAAAAAAAAGAAGAAAAAAAACATATACAGGATACAACAATTTTCAATCCAAACTCCATTATTATTTTTATTTCTTCAGATCAGCATCATATTATGTTAGCACTTCTTTATTGGTGCATACAATCATCACAAACATTGAAAATAGAGTAAAAGAGCTACTCAGGGGAGTATCCTGTGAACCTTAATATCTGAGACATTAATCCAATAACCAGGATACCAGCAATTGTGGTTCAAGTGAAATGCATCACCCCACACAATATGAAGCAAATGATTTGCACAAGAGTCAGTTCTAATGGATCAGAGGTTAATACAGTTATTTACATCTTCAACCTTGCTTTCCTTAAGTCTTAATATGTTTTATTGTCAAAGTGTTGCTTGACCAAAACCAAAGTACAAAAGGTCAGAGAGGAACTCTTATGTCTTGCTTAACATCATACAGGTTGTCTATGTCCTGCCAAATTATTGTCACAAATGTTGAAGGATTAGGAAAGCTTAGAGCTCGGGTGTCACTAAAAGCAGCTTTGACATTTCTTTTCATTCTGTCCTATCTTGGTCTGTCCTGTTGTTTTAGGGTTAGTTAGATATTTCTTTCTTAAGGTCAAGAACTGTTGGCCATGTCTGGTTTTAAGGGGGGAAATACTGCCTCAAAGACAAAGGAGTGTTAAAGGGGAATGTTTTTTTTAACACAGCTTCAAATATGGCTGCAGTTTATTCCCACTAACATATTATTTGATTAAAGTTAAAGAACAGAATAATGCCCTTATGAACACCCACTTTCACTTCATATGAAACAAGTCAAACACAGAGCTGCAGCGCCCTCTAGTAATGATTTTCTGTGGTTGCAAAGCTGGCTGTTTGAAGAACTATACAAATTTGCAGATAGTTGTGGCTGATGTTAATAAAACAGTTAATCAGTAATCTGCTGTTTTTGTAAAGTCAATTGAATAGAACAATATACATTATACAAAATATAATTTCTGTAATTCAAGTCAAAGATATTTCAGGCATCCTTTATGTTAATTTTGATAATCATTCCAAACAGCATAGAATAAAATGGTCATGTTACCTACACGATCATTTATAGACGGTTGAGTTTAAAGTTGCCTATTCAACCCACACCTTTTATAAAGAGGGCAGGTTGCAAATGCTAAAGAATCTGGTTCTTTACAGAGTAGCATTTAAATAGAACGTTAAGTGAAAGGATAAAGCCATAGAAAACAATACTACAGCAATACCCACAGGATTGAAGCAATGGGAAGCAAATATTTAAGATTTTACAAGATAGATTTGTGTGATCAAAGCTTCAGTTGGCTCTAGAAGTAGGTGTATCACATGAGCTACAACTGTTGGATTAGTTATTTTGAGCTACTCCTAAACAAGAGATTATGTCATAAGGGTGTTTCCTTAACTGAAGGTGAAAAGAGACCTAGATTAGATTCAAAAGAAAAAAATGGGGAAAAAACATCCAGAAACCAGGTTTTGCTGATAATTTAAGGAGTCTAAAAGTATGTACAGTGGTGCATATTTGCACCATATATATTAATGCTCTGAACTTCCATATCAATGCATTTTTTGCACAATGTTTTTTTTTTTTTTTTTTCCCCCCACAGTTGCACCTTGTGGAACCAAAATGAGAATAAAAGGTGTCCAAGTCCAAGTCTATTTTTGAATAGACTTGAATAAATTAAATTGAGTTGATCTTCTGTTGGTGTTACTTGTAAACCTTAGAGCAGTTTATGCCTTCCTATAATGATGTTTATGGGGATGGTTTGGTCCTCTTTTTCATGACTTGTCCAGAGAAGTTGGAGGCTTCTAACAACACCCCAGGCTCATCCCCTAAAAACAACACTGCAATGATTCATTAATCATATCAGATTTATTTACTAAACTGAAGAACACAGGAAAGCTTGAAAAACTATCAGCTTCTTGATATGCTTTCAAATAAAACAAGTTCAGCTAATGCTGCACTTGTGCTTCAATCTGAGGTTCCTAGTTTTATCATTGTTCCTGTAACATAAACTTTGATTTAGAGAGGAGAAGAAGGAAAATAAGTTTTTCCCATAAACTGTTAGTCTTTTCAAAGATTTCCATTTGTGGGCTACGTTATTAATGGCACGAACAGCACAGATACAATCACCCTATATTTGTAATAATTGTGTTTCGTTTTCCAATGAGGAAAAAAACTCTTAGTTTTTCATTAGACCTTACAGAGGAAACTTGGAAGGTTTTTTATTAATACAAAGGATTTTTGGATCACATGTCCAGCAGATGGCAGTATTAGTTTATGGAAGTAAATTGAGTTTTACCAAAAACGAATATTTAAATAAACTCTGCACTGCAAAACAACCCCTCAGACTTTGATTGAGTGTTAAATGTTTAGTTAGATACAAGAATCAAAGCCAATAACACCTATGTACTGCTATACCATTCTAATTGCATATTTAAGCAGTTTCACCACTCTTGTTGCGTTGAGTTCTGTTGAGTATAAACATTCTGCTAAAACCTCCAAAGTGACAGGGTCTCTAGCTCTTTATTATTTTCAGAATTTTAAATCATGACGTTATAGCTTTAGCTACAACTGTAAAAAAAATGCATCAAAGCACATTGTGTGCATCTGGTACAACCGAATTAGAGACTGCCAAGTACGGGTACCACATAAAAACACAGACCATCATCAACTTTAAGAATATAATCAAAGCTAAATTTATCCAGTAATTCCAAATAATCCGAATTGGAAATCCTTGTATAAGGATAAGTGACGGAATAATTATCTTTTGAGTCTTCATTTGTTCTATTTTGATGATTGTGTCTTAATGAAAACTAGATATTTGACTGTATGATCTGGTTGAAATGTCTCTGTAAAGTGCCTTGGGATGACATGTTGTGAATTAAATAAACTGAATTGAATTCATGCCAACAACTTACGCAGATATTTATTGAATGAGGATTAATAAGTGGAGTTAATACCAAAGATAAGCTTTTTTTTTGGAGGTAGAACACCAATAAGCCGTCCAAACTTGGAAACCAAGTCCAGTGGATTGTTTTTAATTTTTTTGGAATCACCAGTAAGGCTCTGCCAGCTATTTGCAGGTCATTAAATGACCAAATAACTTAAATAGGTAAGGATACAAACTAATGAAGGTGCTTCACCGTTCTCCCCAAGACTTATTGGAATAGCGCCGGCAGAAAGGAAGGAACTACAAGATAACTCTAGTTCATTTAGCATAGTGACCTCCTGATGTTACCATCTGCCGTATAGGAGCTATAGTTTCCCAGAATCCTCTGCCTGACAGGACATAGAGGCAAAGCCAACCTCACTGGGTTTAATAATTTATCATTTGTACACATATACTATGTGATTCATGCACATTTGCCCATCTCCATGTTTTGGGTTTTGTAACTGAGCTTTAGCTGGTTGCTAAATGTACCGGTATACCTTTTTTTGTCCTTTTCTGGAAGGCCGTAATCCCAAAATGACCAGCATCATGAAACAGTTCGACATGCAAGGCCTGTAAGGCTGAATTAAGCACAATAATCTGGAACTTCTTTTCAACCATGTTGTATAATTTTAAGGTATTTGCATTGAGCCAGTCTGCAGTTAAGCAGGGAGAGGTAATCAGGCTTTGGATCTGCTGAGGTGTTAAGGAAGCCACTGTTGCTATAATGGCGACATTGAGTTCATTAGCATTGTTGGCTGAGTTGCTTGTTTACCTCTCAATACTCCACAGACTTTCTGTTGGACATAGTCAAATCCAACACGCTAATACAGAATAATTAAATAAAATTCAAAATTTAATTTAATTCAAAGAATATTTTGGACCACAACGCAACACTCCAGTACTTTTCTCCTTAGCCCTGGTGGGAGACTTCTTAAACGATCTCTTGTTCAGGAATGGCCGGGGTAGTTATGGTCAGTTGCTTGGCACATCTCTGTATCACACATATTCCACAACAAGATTCAAAACTGTGAATAAATAAGCATAAAGTTCTAGGAAAACATGAAACGAAAACCCCAAACAAAAACAGAACAAAAACCAACGTGCAAGAGTGATTTCTACTTTATTTAAATTAAATCGTATAAGACCTTTCAAATCATTCTAATATTTTACCAAAAAATGCTAACTTTTTTCTTAATTAGATTTCCATCTCTCTTGAATAATCACTATATATTCATACATTATAGGCTGAGGAAAAAAAAAATACAAAGAAAACAAATTTAGAGGCAAAGTAGGAATCAAAGTATATCTAGGGAACTGCCCTAAACAGAAGTAAAAGGCACAAAACATACTGCAATAGACAGAAATGAATGGTAGTATAAAAAGTGATAGCATGTTAGGTACACATGGACTTTAAATACATGTTAGCATTTTGTCATAATTTTCCCCTGCAGGTGAAAAAAATGTTTTTTTTTATTTATTTTTATAAAAAAAAAAAGAAAGAAAGAAAAATATATTTTTTGAAATCATTTTGTAGGAATGTTAGAATAATTTGTGCAGATTACAGAGCTATTATTGGTCCTGTGGAGACATGCAGAATAATATACGGTTAAGCTTTGAATGATGAACTAATGTAAACATTATTTTTATTTTTTTTTATTATGATTTTTTTCTCTTTTTTTATGAATCTCATTTCATTTTAATCTCCATGCTTCTGCTGAGGCTTTAAAAATAAGCTCCACATCATTAAAACGTTCATAATTTGCACATCAGGATCTACAAGTTAAATTTAGGTGTTTATATAAAAAAATCCTTTCCCTCCTTAAGCAATTGAAAATAAAGGAAAAACAAAACAATCGAATAACAGATGTTGATTTGAGCCAAAAGAGCCGACAACGATGAGTGACTGGATCTCTTTTTGATGGATAATCTGGAAGGCTCGTTGGGTTTTCTGTTTCTTAGGTGTCTTTAATAAAAAAGAAGAGCAGACTGAAGCAGAATTGGACAGTGCAGTTATTCGTGGTGTATGTATAAACAACCCGCCGTCATGGTCATCAGAACTGTTCAAGTAATCTAAAATGACAAGAAAATATCAAACAAATCAGTGACATCCAAGAGGAGAAAAAAGGATCTTTTCTAATAATTTTTTTTTTTTTTACTCGCCTTGAGTCTTCCTCTGATCGGATTTTTAGAAGAGGCCGCAGTCCTTCAAGTTGTTCTTGATGATGACGTCTGTGACTGCGTCAAACACAAACTGCACATTCTCGGTGTCAGTGGCACATGTGAAATGGGTGTAGATCTCCTTGGTGTCCTTCTTCTTGTTCAGGTCTTCAAATTTGCTCTGGATGTAAGCTGCAGCCTCCTTGTAATTGTTAAGGCCTATGAGACACAATGTTTATCGTCAACTTGAGAGAAAACGCGCTAAAAAGGTATGATGTTCTGGTTTCAGTAGCAAACTAGTTTTCTTTTAAGCCCAGAGGGAATACGGTTAATCTGAAGCACTTTCTGTGAGTGTCAGCTCATGTGTTTACTTCCTGTTGCAGACTTTGGAAAATCATTGAGAGCTATGGAGACCAGTTGGCATTAATACAGTACCAGAATACTCGGGGAAGCAGATGGTCAGGGGGCTGTGCTCAATCTTCTTCTCAAACAGGTCCATCTTGTTGAGGAACAGGATAATGGACGTCTCTGTGAACCACTTGTTGTTGCAGATGGAGTCAAACAGCTTCATGCTCTCATGCATCCGGTTCTGGGTGCGACAAGTGCAAAGGATCAAGAGATTAGAGAGGAGGGCAGATGAAAGAAATTAGCTAACCGAAGCCTCAGGTGTCCTGTGAAAACTCTTCTAAGGCCGGGCATACACTGTACAATATTTTCAATCTTTGTATTCCGTCATAGCTCAAACTCTTCGATGAATCCACAGTGTTTAAAAGTTCACAGATCACAATGCATACATCGTGAACGCTCTAATGCGGTCTACGTGCTCACTGTACATCCAAAAACCACACACCGGACTCAGCGCTGAGAGAGGGAGCTGGTCGGACTCAATTTGGAAGAACAGGAAGAAGAACTCCTTTGTTTGCACATGTGCAGAGCGTGAGGTTCTGGTAAATCAGCTCTTAGACGCTCATAAGTCTGCTTCAACAGCAGGATTTGCACACAAGCACCTTATGAGGGCCGAACATGTTTGATTTTCTCTCGAACTAACGACTCCTGATCTGGAGGTAGTCGTGAGTGGCTAATCGGCCCTCTTTACCCTCTGTATACTACACACAAGATGCTGAAACTCGGCTTGATCCAAAAAATGATTGCACAACTGGAGAATTGGCCCAAAATCCCTTAGAGATAGGGTAAGGAGCTCAGTCATCCGGGGAGGACTCAGAGTAGAGCTGCTGCTCCTCCACATCGAGAGGAACCAGTTGAGGTGGCTCGGGCATCTGATTATGATGCCTCCTGGACGCCTCCCTGGTGAGGTGTTCCAGGCACGTCCCACTGGGAGGAGGCCCAGGGGGAGACCCAGGACACACTGTAGGGACTATGTTTCTCGGCTTGCCTGGGAGCGCCTTGGGATTCCCCCGGAGGAGCTGGCCCAAGTGGCTGGGGAGAGGGATGTCTGGGTCTCCTTATGGAAGCTGCTACCACCGCGACCCGAACCCGGATAAGCGGAAGAAGATGTATGGATGGAGGACCAAAAATTGTACAGTGCATCCCCGGCTTAAGATGAGGTCATGTAACAGATTTGCTATTGTTTTGAAGTTTTGAAAACACACCATCTCCTCATCCTCTGCCAGCACCAGGTCGTAGGCACTCAGGGCAACACAGAAGATGATGGCTGTGACGCCCTCGAAGCAGTGGATCCACTTCTTTCTCTCTGAACGCTGGCCGCCGACGTCAAACATCCTGCATGAAGCAGACACAGTGTTAATGAGCCACTTAATCAAGGCAGCAGGGAGGGCTGAATACTACATTTTATTTTACTTCATAGATGCCTTTAGAAACTCTCGAAACAAAATACACAATCTTTCAAACTGACAGACGAACTGAGTGGCTTCAAGGTCTTTTCCTTGTCCTCTCATGAGGACAGCATCTAATGTAAAAGCATCATACCCCACATCTGCTCTTATTTTCTACAGTTTGGTTGCTGTAATAATATGACGGCCTAAGATAGGTGGAGGCTGGATGTCTGCAGGTCTCTAGATGATTAATTCATGGAGATGGAGGGAAGTTGAGCAGAAGAAAGACGATTCCTAATAGCCTGACATCTGAGGGCTTCATTTTGATTTTTAATACTTAAGCTCTGAGGGCAATGGGGTGTGAAGAGAATGACCTTCTAAGGAAACTTCAGGGATATGCTCCAACACCTCAGTTTTCAATTTGCTAAACGTTACTCAGAAGATTGTGTTGGTTTTCACAGACCTTTCAGAGGCTGACTAAGAAGAGCTGACTCACTGCGACACAGTTTGGCTAAATTTCATCATTGTTTGCACCAGTTTCATAGCCGTCATGTGAACAAATGAGGACACCCTATGACAGCCTGTGTGTTTTTCGAAAACGTAAGATAATCAGAATTAACAACACGAAAAAAAAAGATACAACGATAAAAAGGTAACTTTCTGTAAAACATGATTAAGAAAAGCCTTGCCCAGTAAGTAATACCTTCAGACACCAGTATAGGGAGCTAGAAGAAAATACTAAAATGTCTACAAAGGACCTACAAAAGGATCCTGGTACTGCTGATGTGAAAAAGTGGCTTGTAAATATAGAAAGAAAGCCTTTCTTCGTTTTGAGGTATTTAGAGGGGAAAGAAAAACATGAAATTCTAAGAAAAACATGAAATTCAGACAAGTTTGTGAAAGAAACCAAACCTTTCAACCAAATAAATAAAAAACCCTAGCCAATTTTCCTCAGCCATAAAATAAAATGCATTTTTTTACTTTTTCCTAATGAGCTAATATTAGGTTAACTTTTTACACAACTGAGCACATCTAGTTCCTGTAGTGTTCAACTCTTATTTCTGTACATCATAACATACATACTCATTATACAGGATACTGTACAATCTGCCTCAGTTAAATGATGCGCTGAAATACATCAATATACGTTCAGCTGAGACCCATCTTTGTCCATCAGATAAAAAGTACCATATTCTTAGCATTATATAAAAGCACTTCTGAGAAAAGCAGTAGAAAACTGAAAATTAAAAGCATTTTTTCCCCCTAAATTCACTAGCTGTAAGTGAAGATACAATAAAATCCCACAGACATCATGTCAGAGTGAAGTAACAAAAAGAAAACCAGTTTTATGGCTAATATTTATCAACTTGAATGACACTAATGGTACTTCCCTCCCCCACACCCCCCTGAGTAAGTAACAGCCAACTTCTGATGGCTTTTGTTTTAAAGTAAAGGAAGAGATGAGATGAAAAAGTTGGGTTTGGATCTTCTTATTATTATTTTTTTAAACAGAACTTATTTTGTGTTGAAAAAAACTGAAGGAATTAATCTAAAATAAAAATAAAAAACAGCTTAATAAAAGACTAAATATATTAACTATCAACTAATCAGGTGTATCAGTGTATCTTTTCATGTTTTAAACTACATGTTCACATAATAAAAGTCAAATTTTAAGTGAATCAAACACTATTTTTAAACATCTAAACTGTTCGGCCTTCTGAAGATGAATATTTACAGAGATTATAAAACAATGAGCTTTATTGATTGAAAAATGTATTTCCAACTTATTTTTTTAAACAACCTCTACAATATATGTTGTCTGTTACAGCTGTGCTGCTTCTAAAGGTTATATTAAATAGGATTTGTTTTGTGTTTAACAACTTTTCAAACAAAGAGCCCAGACTTTAGTCTTACTTGAAATGCAGGTCCTTGAAGGTGAAATGTGTTTCCACGATGCCTGTGGTCTTGACTCGGGTCCGCAGCACATCTTGCTGTGTGGGGATGTAGTCGGACTTGGCTATCCTCTCCAGGTCATTAAGGTAGCTGGGAAGCACATTTTAGTTGATATTTTAGAGAATATCAACGGGAGATCATTTACTAGACTTATGCAGAAAAACGGTAAGCATTTTATTTTTATTTTTATTTAAATTATAGATGTACTGTGCTTTTGAGTTTTTTTTTGTATATGAATTCTGAATAAAAACACAAAGCTCAACACAGTTATTAAATTTAGACCCAGATTCAGACTGTTTTAATACTTTAGCTTTACTTTACATTAGCAAAACAATTGAACACATTTAAATTTAGTGGCAACTGAAGATGAAGCATGTTTTTATGTGGAATATATCTTTTTGTCATTTGACTATTTAAAGAAGGGGTCTACAATGTTTTCCAGGTCAAGGACCCCCAAACTGATGGCGAGATGGAGCAGGGACCCTCTAATTATATATATTGTTTTATATCAAACTGGTCTTACAGTCACATTATTGCATATGGAGTCATGTAACGAAAGTTATTTCACCCTGGGATTATTAAAGTATTCCTGATTCTGATTCCTGGTTAATGGGACAGGTGTTGTGAATGAAACAGTGCCCAGCTTGAATGAGCTCCGTGTGTCGCTGAATGTGTGCATTGATGACTGAAAGACATTATCCGCCTCCATTTATCTGTTTACTACAGTGTGTTGAATTTATGTTAATGTGTATTTAACGACATTTCAATTAGTGGAATAACTTGCAGGGGGGAATATATAAAAAAAAAAAAGAGGTCTAATCAACCAAAACTTTCGCGACCCTCATGCAGTACCTCCGTGGACCACCTAGGGGTCGCAGACCCCGGTTGAAGACCTCCGCTTTAAAGAGTAAAAAGAGCGGGGATGCAGGTGGAAAAAGGGTCCCAGCGTTCTCACGCTCTTCGCTCTTCTAGCTGGTTCAACTTCACGAGTTGTTTTCCACAATGGTGGTCATACAAACAAGGCAAGCTAATAAGCGGATGTAGATTTGACCAATCAGAGGCTTCCTGTCTTCGGTCAGCTACGATTGGGAGAGGTGCAGCAGAGTGCCTGCAGAGGGGGTGGGGACCTTTCTGTGACACCTATGCAGATGACCCAGTTTCGAAGGATAAATTAGCCTTAACGCAAACAAGGTAGTCAAATAATCAGCAACATGTGACATTACTGCACATCTGCCTTCTGTATTATTTGTTTAAGAAAGACATGCCATTGGAAAATATTGGTTTAACATAAAGATATGACAGTTTAGCTCACAAACTTTGATTAGCAGATAAGCCAGGCTGTCATATTTCTTTGGACATCCCTCACAGGAGCACTACAGCCACACAAGCAACGCAGCTGTGGATCAAATAAACCATCAATGACCTAATAACTGCAATTTTCTATCTGTGAAGATTCTCAGTCATCCAGCTCATGGTTAGAAATTAAAAGATCAGTTTAGGTAACTGGACGTGAAGTTTTTTTTTTTTTTACAACTTTCTAATCTCCATCTATATTCTTCTGACAGCATTGCTGAAGATTCCCTCCTCTCAGCATGCCTGGTGCTTAAACCTCAAAGTAAAACTGGTGTTCAACCTATTATTTACATATATATTATACATGAACTGACTATATACCTGAATTGCAGCATTATTTCCAAACCTTCCTTTATTCTGCACTTATATATGTCTGCACTAAAGTCTTTTGTTGTTTCCATTAGTCTTGGAATAAGATACCTCCATGTATTTGACTTGTTTGACCCACAATTGACATTTGAATTGTTTAACCCACAACAGAAAATAGAGAAAACAAAATATTATTACAAGCCTAACCTAACAATAAATTTTCATTCATCAAGGGGATTAACATTTGTTTGAATCTGATCAAATATTGTTTGTACTAAATGCAGACAGCCTCTACTTTCTACATCATATTATGCAGGAGCTGCTTTTATTAGAAAGAAAACATTTCTTCTTTTAGCAGACACATCAGCGTTCTGCTTGATTTGTTCATCGTGATATAAACCACTGAGAAGCTGGATATTTCCAGCTGATGTAGTGTGAACACTAATAGTACAACTACATGAAGATTTCTCTTTGAATCCGTTCCAAATAGAAGTCTGCAGCGGTAGGAGGCGTGCTGCTTCTCTCTCCTTCCTTTCTCTGGCTCTCATCAAGTACTCAGACATTGATTAAAGCCCAATGCCAGACTCATTTAGTGCTCCCTTATATCAACCTAGTCTCTAAGCACACCATAAAACCTTGATGAAACACTGTGTATTGTCCACCGCTCCCTGCTGTTTTGACCAAGAAGCTGGAGACAAAAAGTTTAGATTATACTAGCCAACACAAACAGAACAATGCTGCTTTCCCAAGGAGGCGGCTGTTGCCTTTACTGCAGAGCAATCAGTTCTGAAACATTTTACAGTCCCCGGAAAGACACAAAGCACAGCGTATAGAAGACGGCCGGGATCAAAAAATAAAAACAGGGTAGATCCCTTATGCTGTAGCTGGCAGAAGGAGGAACAAAGATTTGTATTATCCAGACCTCTGTATCAGATCATCCCCAAGGGTCACAGAGATAAACATCTTTATTCATCTCACCCCAAGTACCACATTTACTGTAGTCTCTCTGCTGCTATTAAACCGAGCAGCATGGCAAACAAATACAACACTCAGCAGTGAAGGGTTGTCAAGATTAAGGAGATAAAGCACCTCCATACATTGGGACTGAAAGAACTTCTGCAACAGATTAATATAGTTTTTAAATACAGGACCTTTTCAAAACTATGTCCTTTATTAAAAATGCTGTACTATGATCACTCAGGAAGCCTCCAGTGCCTTAAAATTCAACTCCCTTACATTAGGTGTGTTCTTTCAAATACATTTGCTTGATTATAAACAAATCAGAATTTATAGATGCTTAAAAAAGACTAACAGGAAAAGTGGTTTTCTTTATATTAAAACTTACTTCATTTTGAGCATTGTAATATAGTATTACTGTTAACCAAGAAATTACAATTATTAGAGAATTAAACTTTTGTATTAAAATCTTGCTAATGTTTTGTGCAAGCAATGACTGGTTTTAAAAGGCTGCAGCTTCAAAATGGCTACAGCTTTGTCTAAAATCGCTTTGACTGCAGGATGCCTTCTAAACAGCAGGATAAGTAATAGTTTGTTAAGACGAGCAATAAGCGTGTTTACAAAAGAGAGATTATTCTGCGCTTCAAAAAATTTGCTCCCCTTTCAGGCTACAGTTCCAGGAACTCACTAAGCTGCGGAGTCGTTGAGCTGATACTCTCGGGCGCGTGTGAAGCAGCTCTGGACGCCGCCGTCGCCCCACAGTCGCTGGATGACTTTGGCCAGGTCTTCTGGCAGACTGCCCTGCTCCTCTGCATCTGCAGAAAGGGAAAACAGCTGGCGGGCATCGTCCTGTGGAGAACGGCAAAACAATTAGTGATATTCAAAACAATATGGGCAATAAATAAAAATGCCATTGTTTCATTATTTTGTTGCAAATTTCAACTTCAAAGATAAATTGTACAAAAAAACGTTAAACAATGAGAAAATGACAGTTGATTATTGGTTATAGTATTGCCTCCATTTTATCAACAGCCATTTATTAAGCTTAATAGTTGACCATGGAAGGAGAAGAATAGAGAAACAAATCACAGACTTGGCTTGAATTACCTGTATTATCCAATAAATTAGATTTGGTGAGTGATTAGCACTGGGTTTCTTTGCCAAGATGCAAACTTGCTCTTATTTACAATGATGGATTAAATAAAATTTAAAACGTATAAAAGTATTTCAAATACATTATCTCAAGTTTCTTATAAAACAGAGGAAAAAAAACCCAAATAGGCCAAGAAATCCTCTAAAATGTTGATTTTCTTAATAATTTCTATAACCATAGTTAACACTCTTTGTTCTTTTTATGCTCATATAAAAAACTAAGGAAAACTCTTTTACTGAGATCAGAACAGCAGATTTCTTATCAGCGATATGAAAGGGCACTGGCTGTCTAACCTTTATTACACCAATGACCCTCTGTGTTTTTACTGTTGGACAATGGCTCACATAAACCTTTAGTGTTTGCTATGGAGGGCAGACTTCTATGTATCGGTTAACCATTATCAAGCCCTGGAAGTCATGTCAGCCGCAGCCCACAGGAGGTCAACTTGGCTAACGTAGCACACGGTGTGCACACTGCAGCAGTGAATATGTATTTGCTATGATCCCAACTGTTCCTGTAGGCTGATCATTAAAACATGAACTATTCAATTCAGTTGATTATTCACACAACTCTTCGGTCAAAATGAAGGTTGCATTGAAGGGAAAAACGAAGAAAATGTCTGAATTTAACGAAAGTAATAAATGCTATTATAAAAATCTTCAAATATTCAAGACTCAATTCAAGAAGAATTGCAATAATTTATATAATTCTATTAGAAAAAAGAGAAAGTTTAGACTGATTTAATTTAAATAAAATGTAATTTGAATGTACAGCTGGGTTTAGTTTAATCTATGGCTATTTCAATAGCTGTGATTGTAAAAATATCTTCCTATAAGGTGCTCTGTCTTTGCAGATTGCTCAACAGAAAATAAAAGGCAGCCATCTTCAAAGTCTGTCCTGACTTTAATTTCTGTAAGAACTTAATTTAGGAGATCTGGACTAGCTCTGTGGCTTCAAGCCCTTTGAATAAATCTTGGACATTAAGATGAAAGCTTACAGATTTTATTAACTAGCAAAGATTTTATCTCTACATTAATGCTAAGAACTTTTAGGCGATTACCACATTAAATATAATCTCGATGTGATGTTTTTTAGTCCCAGAGAATATAACTGGATGGCTTTAAATCCTTACCGTTCTGGAGCTGTCCTCATACTCAATCTTGAGGTTGCCCATGGCTTTAATGATGGCCATGATGGACTGGATTGTGTTGCTGTAGACCACTGCTCGGTACTGCTTACACTCTTCTTCTGAGTAGCCATCTTCGTGAATAATCCTTAAGAAAAAAAAAAATAATTTAAAGCATGAAAAGGCATGAAAAACCAGTGCCTAGAGAAATAAGTACAAATAAACACATACATTGTGAAAAGTTGATGGCTTATAAATATTCCCCCCATGAAAATGTATAATATTTTTTGAAAACGTATTTATTCTCTGCATATTTAATAATATCATTTGCTCAAGCTGAGACATTTAAGTCACACAAAAAGCAAAAACAAAGATATCTGGAAGGGAAACAACATTTTTAAAGTAAGTGCTTTACCTTAGTTTACTTTCCTTTTGATCAAACACTTTTTTATTTAAATCAAAAACTGATCCACCAAAGGACACAAACATACATTTTTTTTTATTTTAGACTAAGAAATCAACAGGAAAACATCTCTGATTGAAAGATTACAGGCTGAATGAGAGAAAGCTGCTCTGCTGGTAACCAAACTGAACCATCTCCCCCGGTATGCCACGACCAAGATCTTTGGTAAGCTGTGTGCTGTGCTGAATGGCACCTGATTAAAATTCAAGTGAGCTCACAGTGAAACATTGTGAGCCCCTGCCAAAATTACTGAAAGCCCATGGTGGTTTCATCCCCATACAAACAAAACAAATGTGTGAAGCATTTAACATCCAGTCCATGGTCTCTAAAGATGTCAATTTCCTTATAATAAAGAAAATGAAAAAGAGTTTACTTATTCAGACAAATGTTTAAGTCAAATAAAGATATATAGATGGGTCAGCTTCAGGTAAGCTATCTAATTTCTATGGTAATAAAATAATAATCTGTATTCAGCACTCAAACTATATCATGATTTGTTATATGGAATTAAATCCATCCATCCATCCATCCATCCATCCATCCATCCATCCATGGTCGGGTTGCTGGGGTAGCAGCTTCAGTAGGGAGACACAGACGTCCCTCTCCCCAGCCACTTGGGCAGCTCTTCCGGGGGGGAATCCCAGGGCGCTCCCAGGTCAGCCCAGAAACAGTGTCCAGCATGTCCTGGGTCTCCCCCTGGGCCTCCTCCCAGTGGGACGTGCCTGGAACACCCCACAAGGGAGACGTCCAGGAAGCATCCTAATCAGATGCCTGAACCAACTCAACTGGCTCCTTTCAATGTGGAGGAGCAGCTGCTCTACTCTGATTCCTCCCCAGATGACTGAGCTCCTCACCCTATCTTTGAAGGTGAGCCCAGACACACTACGGAGAAAACTCATTTCAGCCACTTGTATCTCGTTCTTTTGGTCATGACCCAAGGCTCATGACCATAGATGAGGGTAGGAACATACAGGTGCTGGTCATAAAATTAGAATATCATGAAAAAGTAGATTGATTTCAGTAATTCCATTTAAAAAGTGAAACTTGTATATTATATTCATACATTACATACAAACTCATATATTTCAGATGTTTATTTTGTTTAATTTTGATGATTACAAATGACAACAAATGAAAATCTCAAATTCATCATATCAGAAAATTAGAATATTGTGAAAAGGTTCAAAATTGATGGCCCCTGGTGCCACACTAATCAGCTAATTAACTCAAACCACCTGCAAAAGCCTTTAAATGGTCTTTCAGTCTAGTTCTATAGGCTACACAATCATGGGGAAGACTGCTGACTTGACAGTTGTCCAAAAGACGACCATCGACACCTTGCACAAGGAGGGCAAGACACAAAAGGTCATCGCTAAAGAGGCTGGCTGTTCACAGAGCTCAGTGTCCAAGCACATTAATAGAGAGGCGAAGGGAAGGAAAAGATGTGGTCGAAAAAAGTGTACAAGCAAGAGAGATAACCGCACCCTGGAGAGGATTGTGAAACAAAACCCCTTCAAAAATGTGGAGGAGATTCACAAAGAGTGGACTGCAGCTGGAGTGAGTGCTTCAAGAACCACCACACACAGACGTATGAAAGACATGGGTTTCTGCTGTCGCATTCCTTGTGTCAAGCCACTCTTGAACCACAGACAGCGTCAGAAGCGTCTAAAGAGAAACAGGACTGGACTGCTGGTGAGTGGTCCAAAGTCATGTTCTCTGATGAAAGTAAATTTTGCATTTCCTTTGGAAATCAAGGTCCCAGAGTCTGGAGGAAAAGAAGAGAGGCACTTCATCCACGTTGCTTGAAGTCCAGTGTAAAGTTTCCACAGTCAGTGATGGTTTGGGGTGCCATGTCATCTGCTGGTGTTGGTCCATTGTGTTTTCTGAGGTCCAGGGTCAACGCAGCCACATACCAGGAAGTTTTAGAGCACTTCATGCTTCCTGCAGCTGACCAACTTTTTGGAGATGCAGATTTCATTTTCCAACAGGACTTGGCACCTGCACACAGTGCCAAAGCTACCAGTACTTGGTTGAAGGACCATGGTATCCCTGTTCTTAATTGGCCAGCAAACTCTCCTGACCTTAACCCCATAGAAAATCTATGGGGTATTGTGAAGAAGAAGATGCAATACACCAGACCCAACAATTCAGAAGAGCTAAAAGCCACTATTAGAGCAACCTGGGCTATCATAACACCTGAGCAGTGCCACAGACTGATCGACTCCATGCCACGCCGTATTGCTGCAGTAATACAGGCCAAAGGAGGCCCAACTAAATACTGAGTTCTGTACATGCTCATACTTTTCATGTTCATACTTTTCAGTTGGCCAACATTTCTATAAATCCTTTGTTTTTATTGGTCTTCAGTAATATTCTAATTTTCTGATATGATGAATTTGAGATTTTCATTTGTTGTCATTTGTAATCATCAAAATTAAACAAAATAAACATCTGAAATATATGAGTTTGTATGTAATGTATGAATATAATTTACAAGTTTCACTTTTTAAATGGAATTACTGAAATCAATCTACTTTTTCATGATATTCTAATTTTATGACCAGCACCTGTAGATCGACCGGTAAATTGAGAGCTTTACTTTTTGGCTCAGCTCTCACCACAACAGATTAAATGTTTGTATTTTTCTTTATTAGATCAAACAGCCATAAGCAAATATCATGGGTACCATAATTTGTATCCAGGCCTGTTTCATCAGTTTATCATGAATTTATAAATGGGGAGTGTTGGCCTAGTGGTTATAGCAGTGCACTTGTGCTCTGAGGACGTTGCAAGGACCCAGTTCAATCCCACAGCCTGCACTCTGAGTCCCTGAACAAGACCATTATCCCCACACTGATCCACTAAGGGATGGGTTAAATGCAGTTGTTAATTTCTCCAGTGTGAGATCAATAAAGTTCAATTATTATTACTATTATCATCATCATCATCATCATCCTCATCATTTTTTTTTTAAATCATTCCGTTTAAGGATTGTTGAAAAGCAATGTCTGACTTTAATTGCTTCATTTTTATAGAGTTTTTACTTATTACTTTTCTAAGAGTGAACTTATTTCAGTGACCATTGAGGGTTTTTATTTGGGGGGGGTGCAGCAGCAATATTTTACACTTGTGTGTGCAGCTTCCTACAAAACATTGAAAATTGAATGATGAAAATTGAACATGAATATTCTAAACCAGTCTAATCCTGATTGTTTAAGGTCATCTCCATCAGGATCTGAAGTGTCATGCAGCCACTAACACTAACAAGTACTGTCCTGTATTTCTAGAAGCTCCATCTATCTTCCAATCAACTTTGAACAGGTACCCTGCTCCAAATGAAGAAAGGCGGACCCCGCATCATGACGCTGCCATCATGCTGCTACACTTAGTTGCTGTGTTGGTTTGTGGCAAACAGCAAATAAAGTCTCTGTTTCTTTTAAGTTTATGTTCAATAATAGCCTGACTAGTAAATTACACAACTAACAGCCAATCATCCAATTAACAGGTCTTCCTGATGGGATTCGTTAATTTCCTTTTTATAAACTAAGGCTTTTACAGTTGACTCCTGAAGTAGAACTTTATTTTATTTAGGGGCATCACAGTAAAGGGGGACATTTAGTGATACATTCACAAAACAACACAGTTAAATTCCTAATGAACGAAATTTTGGTCACAATGAGATAAGAATTGAAATGTTTAGGATGAGTGAGTCCTTGTGCAAACTACAGCCAATTTAAAGCTGCAAGTATTCAGTTGAATTGGGGAGTAACTTTTTACCCTATAGCACAGCAAACATTAGGGATGCTTTTACTTAAGCAGATATACTAATAATTCACCTGTAGCATGATAAATTGATAAATTTTTTCTAGAATTTTTTATATATTTTTTTCAAATCAGATTAGATATTTTTCTATGGAATTTATTCCTTTAATTGCCATTTTTTTCCCCTGTATACCCGTAGGGCTGCAACTAACGATTACTATGCATAGCGATTAATCTGTTTTTTATTTTTGCAATTAATCAACTAATAATCGGATAGGAAAAGATTCCTTAAAGAAGACTTTTTACGTAATTAAAACAGTTGAAACTAAAACTTTTCCACTTCAGGAGGTCTGGATAGATCATACTGACAGACGTACATTTTTTTTTCTATCTTAAATTCAAAATGTTATAATTACTGCTCTAAGTGGGTCGCTCTGTTAGCTAAAGGCATGTTATAGAGTCTCTATACTCCAGTTAATGATTAATTAATTACTAAATTAGTTGAGGATCATTTCAATAATCAATCACGATTAATCAGATTGTTTCTCATGTGAAAAGTTATATCTAGGTAAATCCTTGTTAAAAAAAGGTAAAAATACAAAGTTGCCAGCAATGATGGGAGGAAAGGCAGAACAATGAGCAGTTACTCACTTCATCTGCTTTACAATGGTGCTCTTCCCCGACTCACCAGCACCTGCACAAAGAACAAAAAGAGGCAGAGGTTAAAAATATGCTCCTGTAAGCTGAGAAATGTAAACAGGCAGCCAGCAAGGCCGTCTCACATCTGGACCTTCGTCTTACTCCAACACTTCTTCCCCCTCGCAGCTTTAGCACATTTTCCTCCTGGGTAAGCCATCTGTCTATACCCATACTCTACTTTCCTGACAGATGCTCAACTGTCTATGGCCAAAATTTAGACCACAGTACCGTATTTCATTTTCCATTAGGGAGCACCTGCTATAGTTTTTGTCTTACTCGTCTTTCAAGACAACTTAGTCAATTCTGGTTAACATTTTCTTGGAACTGTCCTGTCCTGCCAGGATATGGTTTTTCTTTGCCTCTGCTGTGTTTATTCTAAGAGCCTGAGGGAAAGAAAGAGAGAGAGCGAGCTCAGCTGCCAAAAGGAATCCCAACACTTTGCGCATACACACAAACACAGTCAGGGGTTTCTGTCTGTGCTTTCACCCAGGGTGAAGTCTCTCTGGTACGACCCTAAATACACACAACTAGGCTGCATGCAGGCCTCAAACGCACCACAGTGAAGCCTCAGGGTGGAAATGAGCCGAGAAATTTTCCACAGACAGCTGTCAGAGCCCACTTTTCCAAGGAATAGGAGTTTAGATGACTAATAAATCTGAATGAGGGCTGCATATGGTCACACTATTTGTGTTCAAATGTTTATATCAGAAATGAAACAGGAACTAAAGGAGGTAGAAATGAGTGCCATTCAAAGCCTGCAAACACAAATCAAACTCCTAATAGCTTTGAGTTTACAGCAATTTGCACAATAAAAATAACTAAGATGGAGCATCCCTGTTGTTAAACAGCAGATGGTACATATGAACTCACAGAAACTGATAGAGTACTTAACATCAACGCGGTTATTTTGTCAAAAATGCACAAATGATGCACTTCTGACAACAGGTGAGAAAAGATTATAGGGCCTGCTCTACATAAAACGTTTAGGTTTGCAGCTGTATTGAAATGTGCACAAATAGCAACTCCATGAGCCCTGGAATACTAACATTGGAAAACTATTCCAAGAATATGAGGCAGCAGCAGGAGGGACTTTCACTTTCTCTTCATGCTATTCAAGGGCAATAATCAAGAATTCATTGATATAATAAAGGCTCAGCGCAAGTGGTGAAAATATACAGAGTAGTGGCAGCAGTTGGAGGAGAAAAAAATAGTATCTGCTTGCCACATAATATCGCTACTGCATCTTTACCAATAATCACAATAAACATACTGAATTGTACAGAGTTAATATTACAGTGAGTTAGTAGCATGGCATTCAAATGATTAGAACATCTTCACAGTAATTCAAGCAGTTTCAATGTGTGAATGTATAGTAAAGACCAGGAATGAAGAAACATTTGTGCAGGCTGTGGTTAAATACAGCAGTTGTCGGTGATCATTTTCTAAGAGAGAAACTTGCACTTTGCCTTGCAAAAGTATTTTGTGCAAAATGGAAAGCCTTGCTAGAGCAGATGCCCCAATAAGATGGATAATTAAATCCACAATGCTAAATGGTCATAGAAATAGTTTGAAGCATCATCGTGAGTGGATGAAAATAGAGGAGTGAGAAAAATGTGGATCTGTCACATCTCTCAGCTCGCTGTTATATCACTGAACAGCAACATGACCAGTGCTCCAATATTAGGAAGGTGTATTTTGTATCATGTAAAAAAACAATAATAAATGAATAATGAGAGCAATCTACGAGTTAAGGGTCAAAAAGATCTGAGGCCTTCTAGCCCAGCGGACAGACACAAACATACAGTCAGCGTAGGTATGTGTTTTTTAGCCCAAACCCCCAACGCTGCTGATAAGGAGGTAACAGGCAGCGTTTGGCATGAAATAGTTGTTTAATTCATTCAATTAAAGTCCCTAAAACAATCACTCCAGATATCGCACTATTAGGAACAATGATTCTGCCTTTGGAAAGGCTACCAAACAATTTTTATGATTCAGCTTTATTTTTGTTGTCAAAGGTTTTTTGCAGAGGAAGGAAGCTTGAGAGCAGCTCAGAGCCTGAACTGTTGGCTGTGTTCCGCCGACAGCTGGACTGACATCAACGATCCTGTCAAAAATCCCACAGTAAACTATCAGGACTAAAACTGCCAATATCTCTGGTGTAGAGGGAAACAAAAAGCTGCAGCAGCTGACTCACTGATTTACTCTATGCGCAGCAATATCAAAAGCATGCAATAACTTTTGAAACAAAAAAAAAAGACATCATCCCTTAAGAAATATAAAGATTAGGCTTTGTAACATTGTAGGCTTTGTAACATTACTTATTAGTGTTTTGCTCCCCAGAATACCAGCTGCTTCTGGACTGGAGTTCAGTGGAGTTATTGAAAATCTTATCGAGTAAATTTTCCATTGATATTGATCAATTATTTGTTGCAATATATATTAATTTTGATTTATTTCCCAGCCCTAATATAGATGAATTTATTTTGAGTTTAGAAAAATACAAGCTGGTAGTACAATTTAGCAGACTTACAGTCTAACATGCTTATTGCATCGGACTGAATGAAGGCTGATCATTAGATTCAACTCAGAAACATTTAGTTCGAGACTCTTCAAGCTTAAAACATGAATGTGAGGAGGAATTTAAGATTTAATGTGGTGAAGTGATTTCAAGTGATCCCACAGCATAGCCATAAGCAGCCACAGCAAAAATGGAACAATTAGTAATGAGTATATTTTATGAAACTTTTGTACAAACTAGGGGTGAATGATTGAATGCCAAATAATCGAAACTGCGATTATTTTTATCCAAAATTGCGATTTTATTTCAAATTTGAATTAACCCCAATTTTGCAGATATTTCAGCCCAGGATTTCAGTTTTAACACTTCTTGCCCATAGTCCATTTTTATAGGAATTAAATGTAACTATTGTATGAAACATTGTTTACTTCTACTTGCATGAGTGGATCTGCGTGCTAGCTGCAAATCTCTCTACCTTTCTGTGTGGCCACTAACCCACTTCAAGAGTTTAATCACCACCTAAAGGGCTGGTGGGAGAAATTAAATGTCTTACTCTTTTAAATATAGTGTGATTAAAAATCATTGCCTCAAATATTTTAAAATTGTGTTTTGTTTAATTGGGATTATATTGCAACTACAATTAATTGCACAGCCCTAGTACTAAAATTGATCCCTCAGAAAACTGTTAAAACAGCCAGAGTGTCTTAAGTCAAAAGCTTCTGCAGATCAAGACCGACCTCTGCAGAAGATACTTCCTGCCTACAAACCCATTGAAGAAAAAAAACTTCCTACAACACTGAATTTAGCTATGGGATCATTAAAGTACCTTTGAAATCAACTGATTAAAATATGTCAAAAAAGACCCAAATAACTACAGACTGTACAGCAGTGGTCTTTGACAAAGACTACAAGAAATACCACAGCTTTCCCATAGAAACACACAAAGGAAAAGTAGAGTTTGATGGAAAATAACTCTCGCTGCCTGGCAACATGTAGGACAGTTGTTGAGTCAGATTCATGTTTAAAACTACAACAAAAGGTTTATTTTGGGCAATTAGGAAATTTTTGGGTAATGATGTGATGGGTAATGATAGCCAACTACTGCCAGGAGGACCAAAAGCTTAGCTAGAGTCCAGATGCAGTAAGGATTCAGATCTGGATGAGCCGGTTCTCCATACTAGGCATGGGCTGGTTACTGGTTTCACAGTATAAACCAAAAAGTCACAATTTCAAACTGCTGAAGTTCACATTCATCTTAGTGATACTTCCTTTTTTTTTTTTTTTTTTTTTTTTTTTTTATAAAATCCTTTAATAAATCAGAAAGAGTGATCAGGTAACGAGGAGGTGGCCGAAGGAGGGGAGTGTCCCAAACATCCCCCATGCTTTCACAGAGCCCTTGACATGAAAAATTCTGCATACTGAAAGGTATTAAAGTCAGCTATATAGGAATACTTTGGCTACTACAAGATGTCCAATGGTAACGGCTTAGAGGAAGAAGGTTGTCCTACGTGTGTACAGACAGCAGCAGCCAGAGAAAGCAATTTTCTAAATTCAAGGTATTTATGCTGTCTTAGAATGAATAAACTACCTTTAGTGTCAGGCATTAGTGAAAGAAATACAGGTGCTGGTCATAAAATTAGAATATCATGAAAAAGTAGATTGATTTCAGTAATTCCATTTAAAAAGTGAAACTTGTATATTATATTCATACATTACATACAAACTCATATATTTCAGATGTTTATTTTGTTTAATTTTGATGATTACAAATGACAACAAATGAAAATCTCAAATTCATCATATCAGAAAATTAGAATATTGCTGAAGACCAATAAAAACAAAGGATTTATAGAAATGTTGGCCAACTGAAAAGTATGAACATGAAAAGTATGAGCATGTACAGCACTCAGTATTTAGTTGGGCCTCCTTTGGCCTGTATTACTGCAGCAATGCGGCGTGGCATGGAGTCGATCAGTCTGTGGCACTGCTCAGGTGTTATGATAGCCCAGGTTGCTCTAATAGTGGCTTTTAGCTCTTCTGAATTGTTGGGTCTGGTGTATTGCATCTTCTTCTTCACAATACCCCATAGATTTTCTATGGGGTTAAGGTCAGGAGAGTTTGCTGGCCAATTAAGAACAGGGATACCATGGTCCTTCAACCAGGTACTGGTAGCTTTGGCACTGTGTGCAGGTGCCAAGTCCTGTTGGAAAATGAAATCTGCATCTCCAAAAAGTTGGTCAGCTGCAGGAAGCATGAAGTGCTCTAAAACTTCCTGGTATGTGGCTGCGTTGACCCTGGACCTCAGAAAACACAATGGACCAACACCAGCAGATGACATGGCACCCCAAACCATCACTGACTGTGGAAACTTTACACTGGACTTCAAGCAACGTGGATGAAGTGCCTCTCTTCTTTTCCTCCAGACTCTGGGACTTTGATTTCCAAAGGAAATGCAAAATTTACTTTCATCAGAGAAC